GTGCAGGACCAGGCAGCGTTTCATTCTGTGGTACATAGGGTCGCTATGAGTCGGAACCAACTCAATGGCACTTAACAACAACAATAACAGCATTACATTAATTGTACAAAGATATACGATCTAAACTGTTCTTAATAAGTGGAGAGATTTTGTCATTATAGCAACCCAAAGCCTATACTTACTAATTTCTTTTTTTGTCACTTAATAGTTTAGGTGATTTTATCACATATATGTTAATAAATCACAGATTTTTAATAATTTTGGCAGAGTAAACAAGTACTGCTTGAAATATAAATTCTGTATAGAATAAGGGAAAATATGACTTTAAAAATTGCCTTAACTTTACATCTAAGATGTTAGCCGTCAGTGCTTCTGTTGGCTAGTGTTTGATCTGGCTTTTGTATCTGTCTTTATGTTTCTCTTACTATTTAGGTCCCTCAAGACCCATTGAAGTTTTATAAGAAGATTTACTTCTGCCACAGTTGCCAGCTCTATTTGCCTTCTACGGAGTTTTCCATATCGTCCACCTCACAGCGCATCTACCGGTGTCGTCATTGCAATAGCCTTGACAACGAGACTCGAAAACGAGAGTCATTTTTGAAGTACAAATGTTTACTACAGCGGCTCTACTTTTCAGAAGCTGATTATGATGATGATTCTAAAATTGCTTACCTGATGCAGGTATGATTGGGGAGGAGTGCCAGTCATGGGTAAACTGTGTCTCCATCACAGAGCTGTTGTCAAAGGGGTTGGAGTGGAATGACGTGAAGTGCAGTTGAGCACGTTCCTGTATGGGAAACGGTGCCCTTGGTTCCCTAATGTGGACAATGATGCCCTTCCCGAGTTGTATGTAATAGCCGTGTTCTCGGTATTTAAGTACTGTGCTAAGCACCGAGAATACACTAGTGAACAAGAATTTACAGCCTAGAAAAGAAGGCAGACATTAAAAAATACTACAAGTTCTTGTAATAACAAATATATACAGTGTTAGGAAGAGGATGTAGTGGGCACTATGTAAGCATTAAATGGAGAATTAATGTAATCTGAGGGCCAGAACACAGGTCCTCGAGGAAGTGACCTGTAAGATAAAATAAAAGAATGAGTAGGGGTTAATCTGGCCCCCGCGCCGAGAGAAGCACCGCAGACAGTGGGAACGGCGTGCATGAGGACCCACAGACAGAAGTGGGATCGTGCTGTCACAGGAGAGAGGATGTGCTATTTGGGCATTTTGGTTTTTGAGACGGAGGAGATAGAATGGTGTTGAAAAAGATCCAGTGGCAAGGGACAGATGGAAGGCACAGGTAAATCTTGTCAAATTGGATGTAAAGTGCTAAGGTCTCTGGAGAAAATGGGAATCTAACAAAGAAATGCAAGACATGATAAAAACATGGACAAGATGCACATTTTGAATGTAAGTAAAAATATATGAAGCATTGAATTTTAAAATTCTACAGATTTCTTTCCCGTAACAACTGCCGTAGTATTGTATTTTCTAGCATTATGTAGAAGTTAGATTGTGTTAGTTGAGCTTCCTATATTGAATTTCCCATTTCTGAAACATTATAGTAGCTGATGGTGACAAAATTTTAAAAAAAAAAAAAAGCTTTGGTAAGTTGTGTAGGTTTTTGTCCCCTGAATTTATAGAACAGATTCCTGCTTTCCCACCCAAGGCTATGAAAATAATGGTTCTTTTTTTTAATGTTTATATTTTGTGAACTTGCCCCTCTCTGGTGATTCTAAATTTATTTCTGCAGCCCCCATGATAAAAATCCATTTCAAGAGTTTTAGCTAATGTAAGTTAACTTAAAAAAGTTTTAAGTACTTATTTATGCACTTTCCTCTTCTGCTTTCATTAAAATAAGCCTTTTAATGAACCCTGGTGGTGCAGTGGTTTAGTGTTTGGCTGCTAACCAAAAGATCGGCAGTTGAAATCCACCAGCTGCTCCTTGGAAACCCTATGGGGCAGTTCTACTCTGTCCTGTAGGGTCACTATGAGTCGGAATCGACTCTACAGCAGTGGGTTTTTTAAAAATCTTTATCAAATCTTCGGTTTCTTTATTTGTAAAATAGGAATAAAAATCAAAGGATTTTTACACTAGCACTGAGGTACTGATGAATTTTGAAAAGTATTTAATATCATATAAATGTACGGTAAAATTAACATACTGGAAGAAAGAGATATAGCTTATTCCGGGCTAAGTCATGACTGCAGGACTGGTAATATTAGGCCATTTGGACAGAACGAACAGAGATTTGGTGAAAAATAGGGGGCTATGTGGCACTGCTCCATAGGAGAAAGGTGTGGTATTCTGCTTCCATAAAGGTTTACAGCCTTGGAAACCCTATGGGGGCAGTTCTACTCTATCCTATAGGGTCACTATGAGTCGGAATTGACTCAACGACTGAAGGTCCCTGGTGGCACAGACAGATTGCGCTTGACTACTAACCTTAAAGGTTGGTGGTTCGAACCCACCCAGTGGTGCCACAAAAGAAAGACCTGGCGATCTGCCTCCATAAAGATTACAGCCAAGAAAATCGTATTGAGCAGTTCTGCTCTGTCACATGGGGTTGCCATGAGTTGGAATCGACTCCATGGCAGTGGGTTTGATTTTTTTTTTGATGTGTCACTGAAAACCTCATGAATAATATTTTACTTTTTAAAAACTTAACATAATTTATTTCCTCAGCTAATATGATAATCTTAAACGAATTTTATGTTTAGAAGTAAACATAACATTATTTTTCAAACTTGTTTTGACATGCAGCTGCAAGATATTCAGCACCTAGTGGAGAACATCTGGGCGTCCCAGTCAGCTCTCAGTGCTTGGGACGATCTTAATGATCTGGTCATGGTCAGGTGGGAGAAGTCCATGCAGTGGGCCCCCTGGAACTGCATTCTTCTTACCAAAAGTGAAGGCTTTGCTCATCTCAAACTAGCAAGTGTGGAAGAGGTAAGAAAAATGAACTTTCTTTGGGGAATTAGTTTAATCATTGGAGCTATTAGCGATAACTTGCTACCTTTTAATACATGCCATGCATGATTTAAATATTTAAGATGGATTAAGAAGCAGAGAACTCATGGATACCAGTAACAAAATGTGTGATGGTATGCATGGAGGAAATTAAAATTAAAAGGAAGCTAAGACACATAGAAGGTAAAGATAAGAAATTTGAAAGTCTTGTAGGTACCTAAATAAGATACTAAACCGAAAAAAAAAACAGCAAACCAAACCTGTTGCTGTCGAATTGATTCCAACTCACAGCAACCCTATAGGATGGAGTAGAACTGCCCCACAGGCTTTCCAAGGAGTGGCTGGTGGATTCAGACTGCCAACTTTTTGGTTAGCAGGCATAGCTCTTTACCACTGCACCACCAGGGCTCCAAATAAGATACTACTCTCTCCTAATAGCAAGTTCAAGCACAGAGAAGGCGTTAGCTCTGTTATTGCAATATTTTACAATACAATACATTCTTGAGAGGTTTTCTTTCCTAAAATTATTATTTACTTGTTTGATTCTTTATTGTGTTAGGCTCTCACTGAAATCTAAGTTACACGAGGGCAGGGATTTTGTTTAGCTTATTTTCCGCTGTATCTCTAATACCTACAGTAGTGCCTGTCACAGACTAGGGGTTCAATAAATATTTGTTTAATGAATAAATGAATATTACTACTGCATGATATCATGAAACCCAGAATCTGCCCTTTTTTGATTAATCATCACGAGTCTGCCTTAAAGCACACTAAATTATAAATAAATTCTGTTCAGGGTTTTATGCTCTAAATGGCAGCCATGCTGATGGGGTACGGCTCTGAGGCTCCATTTTTCATTTGCTTCTAACTAATCAGGAGTGGGGAAGGCACTACAAAAAGAAATGCCATTCGATTTCAGTAATTTACAAGGAGTAATCTGTAAAGCATTTGGATGAATAGATTCAAGGGGCCCCTGGAGAGTTTCTAGAGAGCTTCATTTAACTAAGCAAGCCTGGGATCCCATGAGCTGATACTGGTTCTCTGCCTTCTGTTGATTAAATTGCTGTCCCTTTAATTCCATGGAAGAGATCAACTAAGGGAAAATAAAGAAGTGACATTAAATATAATAGTTATTTTGAATAGTGCCATTCCATGCCTTTTTTGGGGGGAGGGTGTGGGGGCTGAATGGTGTAAAGGGACAAACAAGTTAAAATTTTAGCTTTTGAATAATTTTTCAGTAGAGTTTTAAGAAGCTAGTTTTAAGAAAAATTTCACTCTAAGGATTGAAAGAAAGGGCAGCAAGAAATTGGAGCTGTGCTAAATATTATATTTAGTAAACTAAGTTGCCTCTAGATATTTGATTACTGGAAACAGCCAATACTAGCAGTATCATTTCATTTAGGACCTTTGGTGAGATTGAAGTTCATCTCTAAAGCTGATATTCCTGGGCTTCTTTATTAATCTGCAAAACTCCCTTTGTATATTTAATCACATTACTACAGTATCAAATTAAATGTTCTCTTCACATGCATTTCCAATTTGAAGATGCTAGTCTTATTGAATCTCCATAAATAGAACTAAGGTTCTAAATCAAGCAAACTTAAAAACATTTGCTTTTATTATGGTTTTGGGCTACTGTAATATTTTAAGTAGTAATATTCAATCTAGTTACAGAAGGGTTTATGACTTGCGGCAAGTTAGAACATTTGTAGAATTCCCTTAATGCACAGAGATTTACTCTCTCAGTAAGTAAAAAACACTCCAAAGTTAAAATAATCTTGACTCCTTGCAATCATGACACAAGTTATAGGAAAAAACACGGCAAAAGACTTCTGTTGTCTGAGCTGTACACGAGGCAGGTAAATCTTCCATAGTGTGCACATTGGCCAAAGTAGAAACAAAAGTGGATGTAAAGTCAGAAGATCTGACCCAGCTGACATGAAACAACTTAGGTAGTAACTATATACATATGTAAGCACTTTAAATTATTTTTGGCTTATTTTATTTTTAATTATCATGGAAACAATTACATCCTAGGTTTAAAAAATACCTGAACGTGATGAAAGGGTATAAAAGTAGAAAATAAAAGTCTCATGATATATACCCATCCTCACTTCTGCTTCCCAGGGGTAACTGCTGTTTCTTAGATACAATTTAATGAAATCCTCCTAGAAATTTTCTATGTGTATGTTAGTATCTATACTCTTTTTCCAGGATTGGTTTTCATATTAAATTGCTGTGCTTTACTTAACAATGGATCTTGGATATCTTTGCTGTCTTTCCATATCATCTTATTCTTTAAAAAAAACCAGTTGCTGTTGAATTGATTCCAACTTATGGTAACCCCATGTGTGTCAGAGTAGAACTATGCTCCACAGGGTTTTCAATGGCTAATTTTTTTGGAAGTAGATCGCCAGACCTTTTTTCAGAAGCCCTTCTGGGTGGACGCAGACCTCCAACCTTTTGCTTAGCAGCTGAGTGTAGTAACCGTTTGCACCACCCAGGAACTCCTCTTATTCTTTAAGAGTTGCTTATGATTCCATGAATGTATGTACCAGAGTATGTTTACCTCACCATTAATGATTGATTTTTGGTTCTATAAAGGTACTTTGAAAATCTATAGTGTTCTACACATGTATAAATTAATATTACGTTATAGAAAGGTGCTAGTTTCCCTTGAATGAAATATAGACTAAGAAGTGGTGGAACAGAGTTTGATTAGCACATAGGACAAGTATTTTGACCTGCTAAATTTGTGAAGTGGAAGCTTTATAATAATCCTAGGAAACTCTTACATAACATTTTATTCAAGACTATCAAATCCTTTTCCCCGGGGCTTTCTTCCGCTTTCAGTTTCACTTTTCGAAGGGCTCTTCAGTGAAGGGATGTCCTACTCTCAGAAAATAAATTTCAGAAGTAGGTACAGGTAGTATTTTTAATCTGGGTGAAAAGAAAGTCTATTAAGATTAATAAACAGAATTAAAAGAACAGTTGCAGTCAAATCGATTCTGACTCATGGTGACCTTATGTGTGTCAGAGTAAACTGTGCTCCATAGAGTTTTCAATGGCTGATTTTACAGAAGTAGATTACCAGACCTTTCTTTCCAGACACTTCTGGGTGGACTTGAACCTCCAACCTTTCAGTTAGCAGGCGCGCACATTAACGTTTGCACCGCCCGGGGACTCCAATAAAGAGAATTAAAAAAAAAAAAACAAAACTCGTTGCCATTGAGTCAATGCTGACTCATAGCGACCCTACAGGACACAGTAGAACTGTCCCATAGGGTTTCCAAGGAGCAGCTGGTGGATTCAAACTGCCAACTTTTTCGTTAGCAGTCTTATCCACTGTACTGCCAGGGCTCCAACAATGAAGAGAATTAAAAAAAAAAAAAAACACAAACCTGTTGCCATCAAGTCGACTCTGACTCATAGTGACCCTATAGGACACAGTAGAACGGCCCCATAGAGTTTCCAAGGAGCAGCTGGTGGATTCAAACTGCCGACCTTTTGGTTAGCAGCCATAGCTCTTAACAACTATGCCACCAGGGTTTCCATAAAGAGAATAGATGTTATCTATTCATTCAATCAGAATCTACTTTTGAATGTCCCAGATACTGTGCTAAATGCTTGGAGAGAAACAAGACAATATAGTGATATAATTCTTCCTTGTTTTTGCTTGTATTTGGATTCAGCTGCAAATAATAGAATAACCAATTTATAGTGACTTCATCAAACAGGGTTTAGTTTTCTCATATAACAAGAAATCCAGAGGCTGACAGTCTGGGGCTAGCGTGGTAGCTCTACAGTGCTGTCAGAAACCCAGGCCTAGTTTTTCCCTCAGCCATGTTTAACATTTGACCTTCATTTTCATGCTGTGGACTCTTAGTGATAAGATAGCTGCCCAATCTCCTGCATTATATCCACCTCCTAAGCGTGAAGAATGGCTAAAGGTGCTTGATAGGCGAGTCTGCTAACCCTCGAAAACCCCTTTAAAGTGCTTTCTTTGAAGCTTCATCTGGTGACTTCCATTTAATGGCCAGAATGTGTCACATGGCTACTCTTAGCTAGAATGAAGGCTAGGCAAACTGGGTACATCCACGCCCTATACAAAATCAGGCCTCTAAATATGGACGGAAGGGAGAATGGATATTGGGTTGGCAACTAGTAGTGTATGCTGCTGTCTTTTGAAAACAGATACTTGTAAGTTGACAGTACCATAACAGAGAAACTACACAGTACTGTTGTAGCTTGGGAGAGACAAGAAGCCTAAAAATGAAGCAAGGAAAAATAAGAATGGAAAGCCCCAAAGATGTGATGGCAAAGGCAGGAAGGTTATTTATCGTTTAGAAGGCACTTACGAGATGGGAATGGGAGGCAGCGAGCAGGCTAACCAAAGGGAAGGTTACATTGTCACAGCAACGATGTGATCTTTATATTTTAGCTCTAGAGATATGGAGGGAAAGACCAATTTTAGAAAAAAAAAATCTTTCAAGCTGCTTGTTGTATCAATGTTGAAATAGATTTAAAGAGAGAACCAAAGGTGGCAAGAACATTCATCCAAAAAATTGACTGAGTATGAGAAAGATCTAGTGTGGACCTTCAAAAAGGTTTCCTTCTCATGGAAGGGATTCTCAAGCAAATCAGTGAAATTCAAGACGAAATAAACTAAGTATCATAATTAAAATACAATAAAAATGTTTACAAGTACAGAGAAAGGAGTGCTTAGTTTGGACTCAGAGAGGTCAGAGGTCAGAGGAAAGTCTTCCAGGTTAAAGCATAAGAGCTAAGCCCTGAAAGATGATAGGTGAAGTGGAAAAACAGTGTATTCAGGGCAGAAATAACTAATGAGCAAAGGCACTGAGGCATGAAAGTGTTGTTTACCTAGCTAAATATATCTATGACATTTAATGGAATTTGATCTTCTTTTCTTCTCAGGGATATGAACCCTTGTTTATTCACAAGATCAAACACAAACATATCCTGGCTAAGAACTATTTTTCTCAGATTCCAGTGCTGGCTTCATTCATACTTGATGATGAAGAAATGGATGAGATCAGGATGAAGTATCGCCCCAAAACATCACCTAAGATTATAGAATCCAAGGGACCCTGTCCTTAGAAGGACCAGGGCTTGTTTGCTTGATGATCAGCATTTTCGTCTGTTGCTAATAGAGTAATACAGAGGTCACAGAACATCGAAATAGAACTTTATCTTTTTATCGATTTTAATTGTTTCTTTTTTGGTTTTGGTAGTATCATAAATTGTTTAAAGAGAAAACATTCCTATATAAATGTTTTATTGTTAGGCAATTAGTGCTAAATTACAATACTATTTTCTTACCGAAACTAATGTTTTAAAGTAAACATTTTATTTTTACATATTTTATATCAAATTTCAAGCCCATTATAGTTAAAATCCCACAGACAAGTGAACAAAAACTAGAGTTTACCTTTAACCCAAGTAATTTACTTCAGATAAAATGTAGTCATGGGAAAATACTCAACACAGATGGGAAGAAACATAGAATTCTCTTTCTTGAAAATCTTTACAAGTGAGATAAAGACTTTAGCTTTCAATAAAGGGATTTGAATCTTTTCTGTTTCTCTTTCACTTTCACCTTCTATTCTTCTTAAAATCCCCGTAAATCTACGGAAAGTATTTATAAACAAGAAAAATAATCTGCATTTCAAGCTGGAAAACAGGGTAAACATTGGAACTATCTTTTATCCCGTGGGAGAAAAACTATCCTTGGCACGATGGTGAAACTCTATTGGAAGAATGAATTTGGGACACCCCTTCACTGTTTCTCTTCTCTCTTCTAAATAGTAAATAACCTTCCTGCCTTTATTATCAAGTAGCAATAGTTCTTATACACACACACACGCACACAAACACACAACGTAATTATATATATGTGTGTGTGTATATATATATACTTTTTTTTCCTCCTAATTCCAATCAACAATTAATGAGGCTATTCAGTTCTCTGAAGTTCAGTGATCAAAAAATTCAATCCAAGTTTTAACATTTGTTCTACAGAAATATTTGCCAACACGTTATCAACACATTTTCTAGGATGTCTGTAAATTTTTTACTTAGCAGAAGTGTGGCATGGCACAGTTGTTCTTAGGGAATTAAACAACATGGAGGGAAGTGCTATAACACTATTGTTATTTTCAGGGTTTCTTAGACAACCTGGACATTCATGGAAATTCTACACAATATAGTACAGATGGGATTAGATTGGGAACCATTCTGCTCACTGATGAACAGGCAACAATTTAACACAGACAAAAATGGGCTTTCACTGGAACGTAAATGACCAGATTTTCACAAGATAGTTCAGGAGAATCCCCTAGCTCTCAGAAGAATGGCTGGGAAAGTTGGAGTGCTGGGGAGGCAGAGAGTGAGGGGGAAATAGCCAGACAGGGACAAATAAAAGACTGTGAGGATTCCTCAACTGTCCCAGAAGTGAAGAAGCTGACTATGGCATTTGCTACAGGAATGGAAGACTTGTAGATTAAAACTGAAAGATGTGGACCAAGAAAAGCAGTTGAATCATATATGAAAAAGGGGTGGTACCTTAATTTAGGGCTAGAGGAGGGAAAACAACTCAACAGGAGAGAGACTTTCCCTCATAAACATCAACTCTCTCAGTTAACTCTTTTCCTATTCTCACTTGAATTATAGTTCTGATTGTACACTGCTATCCAAACATTCCCAGCAGAAGGGGCTAAAATAGGGGTCAGGCTAGAGAGCAGTCAGTAAGGAAAAAGTCTTAACTCCAAACCAGATTGCCACCTACTAGAATCTTCACAGTATCCGCATTCCTCTAGTTCCTGACCAGGTGAACACACCCCCACCCTCACCACCCACACACATACAACTAGTAGCAGACGAAACCATAGAAGATATGTTTCCCTCATTCTCTTTGGGAACTAAATTATTTGGATAGAGGCCTAAACAGTCTATCAAAATAAAGTTTACATCTCAGTACTGAAAGAAGACAAAAGCTGATAGGGAAAAGTCACCAGATAATTAAAGATTCAAAAATTTTTTTTAAAAAAAGGGACCCTTCTAAGGAATCAGAACAAATATTCCCAAATGAAGTAGCCTAATTCTAAAAAATCAAAAACAAACAAACAACAACAAAAAAAAAAAACACCTCAGACTTTTTTTTTTTTTCTTTTTTAGCTTCTCAAACAGGTTATGTGCATTCACTATTTCTTTAACTCATGCTTTCGGTATCATATCCAAGAATCTAGTGCCAGAAACAAAGTCCTGAAGATTTACCCCTATGTAGGAGAAAACATTTTTTAAAGTTTCTTAGTTGATATTAATATGACATTTGCTAGCTCCTTTCATTTTTTTTGGAAAGAAAAAGTGATATTGGGAAAAATTGCTAGCACATAAAATATGCAATTGCTGAATTAAAAAAAAAACACATTGGTGACAATGAAAAGCAAATTTGGTACTTGAAAGCTCAGTCAGGGAATAGGTAAATTAGCTGGATAATTTACCAGAACTCAGAGGAAAAGGATAAAGAAAGGAAGATGAGCAAAAGTAATAATTCTAACAGCTTTACTGTACCTATGCTAGGAATAACACAAGCCTTGAATGGAGCAGAAGAGGAGAAACAATTATCAAAGAAAGATTTTCAGCCACTTTCCCTAAGCTGACAAGAGACTTGAATCCTCAGCTGCATAAAGGTTCTACCAAGTACTGGGAAAAATTAATAAAAAGAGACGCACCTAGACACAACCTTGTGACATTTCTGAATTTCTCAAAAATAATGGACAAATTCTATAAACATTCAAGTTGGAGGAAAAAAGCCACAAGGAAAAGAAAAAAAATCAATAACAGCAACATAGATTTTCCTTCCCCAGCACTAAGTGCCAGAAAACAGGAAGGGAGGAAAATGACCATTGAAAGATTGCAAATGTAAAGGGGAAAAAAATAAACTAAGAATTTTACCCCAGACAAACTTTCTTATGTGTGAAGACAACCGAAAGGCATCTGTCATCAGTCTATGTGTCCCCATGCTGTATCCCAACTGACCTCAAAACCACGGAGTAAGATATGGGCATGATGTTGTATCCGAGAAATAGCAGTGAGCAACCTCAAGATCCTCTCTACATGACCATCATTTGTTTGGTTCTGAAGCAATGTAACAATAAACAATAATTCCTCAAATAAAAATGTATACTGTAAAATATAAAACAATAATCTGAATCTAAAATATCCTGGTAATTCCAACAAAATGTCTGCTGTAGGAGGGTGCAGGAAAATAAAAATTCATTGAATCTTTATAAGGAGCTGGGGGGAGCCAATAGATACGTAGGTGGAAAAGCAGATATTTAAGTATATTCAAACATTTGGTTAAAAACTTTAAAGGCAACCAGTAGTAAAATAAACGTGGAATTTTAAGCTCCACATTTCTGAAGAAAAAAAAAAAGAACAACAAAAAGCTTGAGAACTATCACAAAAGAAAGGATTTTTTTTAGGTTAACAGGAAGGAAGAAGGTTACCAGAGAAACATATAAGATGTAGGACACCCAGTGGCACTTACTGTTGGGGAAGTTTTGCTAACACCTCTGAGGGTAGCTGAATACCCAGTGGTACTCACTGGTGAGTTTTGCCAGCACCCTAGTGAGCAGCTTCCCAGTGTATCTTGCCGGCAATCTGGTGGGTCGTTTTCTGCTTGCCAGCCCCAGCTTGAGGCACCACGGTGAACTTCTCTGCCATATCTCCCCCTCCCCAACAAGATCCGAGTCTCAGCCTCAGGTGGGGCCCCCTTCCAAGTGTGCTCCTTTTTAGGATGATCTGCCTCCATCTTTAGAGCTAGTCGCTGCTCGCAATATCTGTCGTTCTTATATTCTTTAGAGTTCTCATTTCCCCATGATAGCTAATCCCTTGTTACTAGTTGAGAATATATTGAATTTTCCCTGTTCAAATTACTGTGTTGTTTTTGTGTCCTGACTGGACCCTCATTGACGCAAAAGGGAACGTTGAAATTTCCTCTCTGAGGTGAGAGACCATTTGTTGCACCTTGCATCACCACCACAAAGAAAGAGGCACAATGCTTAGTGGGCTTCTTGGATCCTGGAGTCTATGTGTGCCATGTTTGGATATGCTGCGCTGACCCACTTATTGAGTAACATTTAAGGCTGACAGTTTTGAGCGAAGTAAAGGAATTGCAGCCGTGAAAACTTTCCTGACACTTGGACCATATGACTCAGTACTCAATAACGCTGGACATATCTGTGGAAGAGAAAGATGTTGTAAACAGCCTCTGATAAGCTCCAGTAGAGAATAGTAACTCAGATGCCTAAGGTACTGGAGTGCCCTAAACCATGTCCTTTTCTACCAACAAGTGTTCTCCTGGTCTTCTGTTGGGCTCTGGTAGACACTGAGCACCTAAAACCATGATTCACTAAGTGACTCTTTACTCATAATGCCAATAATAAAACTGTGTTATCAGATGCACCCAGATCACAAGGTTGAACATGCATAATATCATTCCATTGGAATGGTATATACAAGAATCTCTAGAAGGTCTGGAAGTTATAAGTAAACTGCAAGAAGTAGGTATCTCATACTTGCATGGTATGTGCTTCTACTGCCTTTAACTTATACCCCTTGACTCATAACTATGGTCTTATGGAGATTTCACTATGACCACTTAAATAACAGAAAAAATAGTGAACTGGTTTACAGAAAAATCTACATACCATACTGTCTGTCAATACATGATCTGGCTTACAGAATGGTTTGCACACCATGCTGGCCACTGTATTATAGCTCCACTTGGGATACCCATGAAAGACCATTAAAGATAATTCTCCCCGTGGGCAGAATTTCAGGTGGTACATCTTATTATCCAGTTTATGAAATGGGAGATGGCTGGTGGTATGGAGCTACAGAGATCCATGGGTAGCATTGCTAAAAGGTTGATGAAATGTAGACAGACTTAGAATAATATTAGAAAATTTGTGATAGGTGTTCTGGGGGATGCAGGTGCATAGACCTGCCCTATGTAAGTGCCCTCCAGATGACAGCCACTGCAGAGGAGGCTATCAATAATCAAATGGGCATGATAATTCCTCCTGTGGATCCCT